TGTAGTACTAGCAATTCTCCCTCACATGTCATTCTTCTGATATAGCTCTTGCTGGGGCCCTATGAGACCAGGGTTATTTCTTTTAAAGACTGAAGGCGTGGAGCAAGTCTGGAGTATCTTGTACCTCTCAGCTCAAATCTGGCCACATCCCTTGCCTTCACTATTTGTATGCCCTGCTTTTAATTCTGTAATGCTGTGTTGCCCTTTAAATTAAACACCTCTCTCAAAGTTAATTCTTGTGTTGCTTGATTGTATAGTGAGTATTGCTATTTTTATTGTACATTGTCCTAAAGCCCATGGGCAAAAATCATTATATACATATAATGATAAGCAAATAAAAGTAGAGTAAGAATTAGTTCCCCAAATGATAGATTAAAGACATATAAACAACCTGACATAAGCTTCCCTGTTTTCAGGGTAGAAATCCACTTCCTTGTCAGTTTGTCTGAAGGTTGTTGAGAATTAAAAAGTCTCTATTTTAATTTATATATTGGTTCTAAACTGAAAATAATTCAGTTGCTAAAATCCTTGTAACCCCATCCCATCTATCTCAATAAATGTGGCTAAAGAGAATTCTGCAACAATCATGCCTGGAAGAGTAACTGCCTGTTTAAGCAGTTGTCAGTGAGTCTGACAGTAGTTTACCATAAACGTTGTTCTATAGCTTTAACTCCTCATATACTATTGATTCTACTATATAACGAATGCATATCAAAACTCTGCAGTTAATCTAAAACTTTCATTATTACAACATGTAACATTTTTACTACCTTTTAGAAATATGTAAACTTTTACAAATGTATAGCTTTCCTGTTCATTTGTTCAAGTGGGAAAAGTTTTAGTTTATTGTTTATTGATTGGTCTGGGAAAAAGAAAAGCATAGAAACTAGAAAAACCTGTTTTTTTTCTTATGACAGAAATAACTTGCTTTGGAAAGCCAATGCAATGTATAAAGTTTGTATAATGAGAAATGTCCATACAATGTATGAAATTCCACATTGTAAAATGCAATATCCTTTCTCAGTTAAAAATTAATAATTTAATTCTACATATAAAAATCACTAGATGACCAGGCTATCTTTAGTATTTAAAATACTGTGATAATTAAAGGCAAACTGAATTATTTTTAAGGCCATTCAAGCAAAATTAGTAGCTAGCAATATTAATAATACTGTCATCCATGCATACTTGGGGATTTTTTGTTACAATGACACTGCTCAAAAATATTTTCCCCAAGAATGCTTGCCTTATCTAGTTCTCTTTTGTTGGATCAGGTAATGATTTGGAGAATTTTTGATGAGTTCAGTAAGCATGTGTAAGTCCTTAAGGAAAAAAAAAACTTTGATTTTTCATCTTACTTTAATGAAATTGTTACAATATGTAATAGGTAGCCTGATCATCTAGTAGATCATCTTCAGAAGACTTGTTTCAGAAGCAATGTAGAGTATGGTTTGGGTGTACATATATATCTCTACCCTCTACCATATAACTAGAGATGTACAATTTTTAGTAATTTTGAAGTAATGGAAAAAATGATTAAAAAACTGAAATTTTGGAAAAAAATTAATGACACATGAAATATGCAAAACTGATTTTAATACTTTTTACAGTCATTTTGTTACCTTATACAATATAGTATGTATAATTTGCATATAAAATATGATTTGTGTATACAAGTGAAAATTATAGTTTATAAGAGATCATTAGAAATCTGTTGATTGAATTTACTTCAACATTCTGTTAGAAATTTAGGTCATGCTAAATTTTAAGGTAGCACCATTTTGTCTATTTAGAAAAGGAAAGCAGGCAAAAAGCTACTACTAAAACAGAAGAAACTTTCAGCATTGTAACAAAAAGAAGCAAAGTTAGATATACTCATTTTTACCTTCTATTGTATCAAACAGATGTAAAAATCATTAAGTTTTCAAAAAGGAAGCTGTGAAAAGGGGCAAGGCTGAACATGAACCACACGAAATGTCTAATCAGTTTCATTTTCTGAATCTCAAGTACAATAATTAGTACAGTACTCTCTACTGATCTTTTCCTTGTTTTTTTTTTTATCATGTTGATGGATTTCTGAAAACTGCTATCTTGCCTGTACTGAGATGAGCTTCTCTACTTTTTCACATATTAATGTATTTATGTATTTGCAAATATAGACCAATTTCTTTTACATCTTATTATTTCTGGTATCATTTTAAACAAAAATTTTACAAAGTCCCCATTGTTGGAGAAAAAGCAATAGAACAAGCCTCAGAAAAGGAGTTTGCCTTTTTTAGCCTTCACATCTCTAGATATCTCTAAAAGTCCATGCGGCACGTACACTTCACATGATGCCAAATGGATGCAACCTTATTTATAAAGGGAGCAAATGTGAGGATAGCATAGGAGTCAAATTACTGTACATGTTTGGCTCCACATGGAATAATTATGACACTTTTTAAGCAGCAGAGTGGGGAAACACATTTTTCTTCAAAGACATGTACTAAAACACCCTATCAATTTTTGAGATAAGTAACTCATCCAAGCTTAGGTAAGTGATTTAAAGACTTTTTTCTTGTACCAAAAAACTAAACACATTCAATGTTTTAAAGAATATTTAAATGTTAGTAAACTATACTACTATCAATTTTGAAACAACACTCCGTTACTTAATTGTGGGAATCAATTAAAGGGTATATTGTAGCATGAAGGACTGAAGTAAGTTCTCCTAGTCAAGCTCAACTGCTAATGACTTCATGGATACATTCCTATGCTTTTCTTGGCAGCAATACAGAAATGGTTTGCTATTGTCTTTTTCTTGATGTTTTTTCAACTTTCCTATATAGCCTGTAGCTTTGGTATCCCCTGGTGGTCTTCCATCCAAATATTCACCAGGCCAGTCCCTGCCTAGCTTAAACACCCACAAAAAGATGGGCAGGTGCTGCCACCTCCTGCTCAGCCACCTTGAGTAAGTCTTATAAGTTGCTCAGCCTTATTGTGAGTCTAAAACACTATTTTGAGTTTCTAGATTTCAAGGGAGAAGACGAATGTTAACAGTTTGGGTAATTAACAACACCCATCCCATCACAGTCCAACCTGAGAATGCCCTTTTACCCTGTTCACAAGCCAAGAACTTAACCTGTCAGAAGGAAAAGAGCCGAAATGTATCCTGCCACTCTCTAATGCTGAAACAGTACAGAGACGTCCCACTTCAAAGACTTTGAAAGACTGTACTAAAACACCCTATCACCGAAGGGGGGGGGGCTTTAGCAAAATAAGCCTTTCTGCCTCCCCAACTCCCCCAAAGAGTGAAGCTTTCGATCCTCTCCAGCTCTCCTTTCCCGACTCCCATTCTTCTTCGGGAGGGGAGAAATAAAGGGGCAACTCGGGTGAATCCTGTCCCGAACAGGAAGAAAGCAGCCCTTTCTCTTCCCCTCCAGAGTAAGGCACCTCCCACCCCAAAAGGAAAAGAAATGGTTATATCAACGTTTCTCGTCCCCCTCGCCCAATCCATCCCTCCGCCCAGGGTCCCGCAGGGCCGGTGCGTCCTCATCGACTCGGGGGCCCGCGAGTTCTAGGCGCAAGACGCCACCCAGGCCCATCTCGGGACCTTCCTCCCATCTCCGTAACTAACTTGTGGGGAAGCGAAAGGAAAAGGAGGGAAACGGCCGCGCAACAAGTTCCCGGCCGGCCCCGGACTCGACTCATCTCTTTTCCCCTCCGGCCGCTGCTTCTTCCTCTTCCTCCTCCTCGTCTCCCTCCCTCCCTCCTTCCCATCCTTCCTTACATCCCCTCGCCGCCACCCGCGGCTCTCACTCACTTACCTCCGCCATGTTCGCCGCTCAGCTGGGGCGGGCCGAGCCTGGAGAGGGGAGTCACATCGCCGCCGCGGCGGAGAGGAGGAAATGGCACGGAAAGGCTGCGGGAGCGGCGGCGATGGGTCACAGTCTCTGGGAAGCGGCAGCGGTGGATGCAGGGAGGAGGGAGCGGGAAGCCACCAGGGGGGAGGAAGAGGCCCAACGGTCACCGCGCAAAGGAGGTGGGCGCGCCCGCGACACCGCCTCTCCACTCCCCCGCCCCCCCGCCCCTCCCTTTCCCTCCCGCGCGGGCGCCCCCGCGCCCCCACGGGGGGGCGCGCGCTCCCGCGGGCCGCGCGCGCG